ATCTGGCGACTTCCCAGATCACTTCCAACAAATTTTCGCTTTTAACGTGTTTTGCCCTTCAGCCTTCAGAAGCATTACGATAGGCTTCTCTCGCTGAGTGCCACAGACGGAGCTCGTAAAGTAGACGGTGATGAGCATGGGTTGAAATGGATGGCACTATGTCTTCATAGGGAGGAGTAATGAAGGTCGATCGAGTATGAAGAAATTGGCACTAACTATGACACAACCTAACAAATAGCTGGTTCATGAAAGATTCCTCGGCTCATTACGAAAACGACTGGAGAACAATAGTTTGGTACCCGACAGGAGGTCCGCCGCGCGGCAAGAAGGCAGAGTCGGCGGACGAGTTGCAGCGCGTGATGTGGTAGGACGTGCAGTGGTACATTCTATTTAACTTGACGCGAAATCCCTACAGTACGCGCGCGACTCGTCCGCTGACTCTGCCTTCTTGCCGCGCGACGGGCCTCCTGTCGAGTATCCCCGATATGGGTTACCGCTGGTACCCGACAGGAGGCCTGTCGCGCGGCAAGAAGGCAGAGTCAGCGGACGAGTCGCGCGCGTACTGTAGTGATTCGCGTCAAGTTAAATAGAATGTACCACTGCACGTCCTACCACGCGCTGCAACTCGTCCGCTGACTCTGCCTTCTTGCCGCGCGACGGGCCTCCTGTCGGGTACCCAGCTTGCCCTAATCCAAGGGAGAATGCAAAATGAAAAGACTGGATCCTCTCCTGGAATTCTCTCGTAGGATGCGCCAAGCATCCATTTTCCACTCGTAAACTCGTGGTCATTTTTCATGCGTTAATGGACCACCACAACTTTCTGTGGCCATGCACACAATGAGTTTTCGTGTTCAGGACGTCCATGTGCTCGGCTATGTTCACCGAGATATAAAACCGACCAATTTTTGCGTTGGTCTCCAGATGGCTGCCGTTCGAGTGTTTCTAATCGATTTCGGAGAAGCTGTCAAAACCGGCAAAAATATAAAGTAACTGCTGCTTTTTGTGTAAATATACACTAATTATGCATTCGATGACCTACGACCTCTTGTAGGTTTGCAACGCCAGACGCGTACACGCTTCCATACATGGCAATTGACGCGCACAAGCGGGCACCAGCCAAACCAAAAATGGATTTGGAAGCGTGGTTTTACACATTTTCAGAAATGTTAGCGCTGTTTGGAAGAGTATCCCTTTCTTTCTGAGTCCTTTGGTGGCAAGTTTCCTTTCAGGCTTTATCCACAGCTCTTGACATGGAAGCAGAGTTACAATGAGGCAGAGATTCTGGCGGCAAAGACGAAGTTTTGGAGCGGTAAGTCCAATAATAGCTCTCACCCATGAATATCAAAATTTCTGCTGAACTACGAGGCCGCGTTCATAGTTCGCGACTCCGGAGAGTAGGATAGTGCGCGACAATGAAAAAAGATATGTATTGACAGGGAGATCAGGATAGTGGGCTTGAAGTCGCCCAATCTACTACTCTCCAGCGATTTCAATCGATACGTATCCAATCTTGTCAGCGCAATCTCCTACTCTACTACTATCCTAATATCCCGAGTCGCGAACTATGAACGCGGCCCAACCTCGGCTACGATTATAATAATAATTGATAATTCAGCTTGATTATCTTGCTCATAGTTCATTTTTGTAGACTTGTCCGTATCTCTCACCGCCTGTGCTCCACAAATTATAGAAGCTGCGAAGATCATCAGCGCAATAACTGATAGGATTGATTACAATGGATTGAGAAAGCTCATGGATGACGCGAGGAATTCTCTTCTGAAGGGGTACGTTACCAGTCGGGCACGCAACATTTGCTGGATATGAAAAAACAATTATTTTAACGACCGACCGCAGACCTTTTCTACTTAAACAGAGTAGAAGGAGAAGGGTTACGGTATTTTATGACAATAATAGTAATGAAGAAAACTGTGACAAACCTTAGCTATGGGGAATTCGGGTGGGATAAGCGCGACCCCTTAAGAGCTATTTAAAGCGTACCCCACCTTAACTTCTACCGTAAGAATATCTGAGTACATATTTGGCCTTCGAAACAATTAACAGCCAGCATCCTCTGCCCTCCGCATGTTTGCTATTACGCTCTGAGAGGAGGTACCCGACAGGAGATCCATTGCTCGGCGAGGAGGCAGAGACGCAGACGGGTCAGCGGACGAGTCCCAGTGCGTACTACAGTGATTTCGCGTAAAGCTAAACAGCAGCCGGTGACTCATTCGCTGACTCATCCTCCTTTCCGTCGCGCGACGAGCCTCTTGTCGGGGAGGTGCACGTCATGAAATAGTAACATGTTTGGGTCAAATAGTGAGCTAGTAAGTGGAAGGAATTTGACCTCCAGGACAGGGCCAACATACATCAGCGAGCTGCAAACCCATCAGGGGCAGGGTCAACCCTACGTTGTTACTAGTAACAACAGGGGGGTCGTACCTGGTTGAGTTTATAGGAGGGGGGTCGTATCCGCTTCAGTCGCGTGAAATTACATGTGAGTTTGTCCCCCCCCCCCTAGAAAATGAAGCAGTGGGATTATAGGTAGAAGTGGGGTAAATTGGTTGAAATTTAGGGAATTTTGGTAAATTTTTACTGTTTCATAGTGGGTATATGTATACTCACCCCCACTCGACGAGAACTTTAGAGGAAAAAGTGGGCGGAGTTTC